AGCTGCATTCAAACCCTTTTACTCTAATATTCCAAAATGAAAAGGAAGAAAGTTGTAGCACAAGTCTAAAAAAGGGTTAAATTAATCTTCCAAGAATCTTCCAGAACTCTGTTCAATTCTTCTTTTAAACGTTGAGTGAAGACAGACCAATGGCAGACATTAAAGTGGACTGAGGAGGACTATTAGTCATGCATTCCAAAAGATGAATATGCTGAAAGAACGCCATAAAACCCCACATTTTTGAGCACACCATCCCCACTGTGAAGCATGGTAGTGGCGGCATAAAGTGCAGATAGATGGTGCAATACAAAGTAACCAGACATTGAGTAGATATATAGACGGCGCTGTCTTAAAAAAAGAAACAAACAGGAAGACAGAGATGGGTGGAGGAGAGGAGGTCTGCAGCCAAATTAAACCTTTTATGAGGGGGTCACAGTGACATGACTCCAGCAGGTGGGCAAACACTGCTAACATCAACATATTCCATCCCAGACTCATGGTATTTTCAGAACATTAATTAAAACATTATCAGCAATGCTGCAGCTTTTGCTTTATCAATCAAAAATAGTGTAAATTAGTCCTGATAGACCAGAGAAAAGGAAACATTTCAGGATAGAATCTGTGCTCAAAGTTAAAAAGACATATTTTGAGAGCAGCTCCTGCTGTTTCTACATCAATATAAAGCTATGTTTATCAGCTCAAGAAAAACTCTAATAAGTTACGCTTTTTCACTTTCTGTGTTTGTTTGAGTAGCACTTTCCTTATCAGTTTTTTTCCCCTTTTATATCATATTTGTAGTTTAACACTGTGAATTGCATATTGTTTTTTCATTGTTGTTATTAGAGGCTGTGAAGGCCAGGAAGAGGATAATATAAGTAATTGGCGTGAGGAGGAAGAGGAGACAAAGGAGGGGGGACACGAAACGGAGGAGAAGGTGATGAAAGAAGATGACGAGACAATAGGGTTACCGGAACAACGACCAGTCAAAGAAATAGTGCTTGGCACAAGTCTGATGTACAGGACTCAGTCAGTGGTAGGACTTGGCATAGGATGACATTTATCTCTAGGATTCAATGATTGAAGTCCAAATGTAGGCTTTGGTGTTCTTCCTGAACAGTTTGGTCAGTAAACTTTTATTGCCATCATTTGTTAAATACACAGGTAGATTTAATTGTTGACATTTGTTTCAGATTCCAAACAAAGCATTCATTTTTCAACCATTGTCCAATCAGATAAAAGCCTTCTAGGTAGAAATAAACTGGATTTTAACTCCAGGCCAGCCATGTTATGTGGTTTAGATAAATAATATCCATAGGTTAAAATGGCCTAGTCAAAGTACAGACAAAAATTCATACATTTTTTACATAAAAAGAAAGTTGCTGTCTACAAATGCTCTTCATCCAATAGGACGGTATGTAACAGAAACTGGTGAAGACTAACTCTGAAAGACCTGCAATTGGACCCGGCAGCTAAAGGTGGTTCTACAGTAGACTGAGTCTGTATGGTGTGACACTTGCAAACTCCACCAAAAACCTTTAACTTCCAGATTTTGCACTGCTTTCTGTTTATCAAATAAAACCCCAACAGAGTAATCGAAAGTTTTGGTTTGTAGCAAGATGAAAACATGAAAAAGTTTAAGGGGTATGAATGCATTTCCTATCCAAATGGATCAACTGAAACCTGGCATTCTGAAAAGACCCATGAAGCCTTTGAATATGTGTAAAGCTGACAGAGAGCTGAGTTTATCCGAGGCTTACTTTGCTGCCGAGCCAAACTGCTTCAGGATGCTCAGAGACTGTCGCAGCATGCTGGCACTGGGGTCCAAACCAGTTCTCTACCAGACCTCCACAACCGCCTTCAGATGGATCCTGATCCGATATAAGAAGGTCCACACAGGTTCCAGAGCTGGGTCAGTTCATCAGAAGCAGAAGAGACAGGTGAGCCGGTTCGCACTGCCTTGGTGGTGAGATTCTGCGGGTGTTCTGGCCCTGGTTTTTGTTCTTGTTTTAGCTAATGAGGAAGTTGAACGGATGAAACGTCAGCAGCGAAAGGCAGCAGTTGTTTCCCCACCTTTTACAAGGTCTCACTCTCACAGCATTGTTAGACACCTAAACACCCCACAGACAATCAGAATCAATGGGAGCTGAGCAGAGGTTAAATCCTTGTTACCCAGCAGACCACTGTGGCCTGTGAATGTGCTCCTGTTAAGCTTTTGCTCTGATGTTCTGAATATTCTGTTCTGCAGCGCTACAAGGATGTGAAATGTGTGAAAGAGGAAACTATCAGAGCAGATTGAGACATCTTTGTCCCGACTTTCAAAAATGTTCTGATTTTACTGCCACTAGTTTCTTTACAGTTTGCATTTTGAGCAACAACTTTAAAGCCGTTATTCCATTTTTAAGGCCATTAAAGCTTCATTACGTTTTAATAGCAGTATCTAGGCAACAGGAATGTCCAGCTTATCATGCAGTTTCCTTTCTAGTCACCTGTTGCCTTTTTGAGGAACTTGTGTGCATATGTTTAGCAGCTGAAAATAAAGATGAACAGAAAATGAGATTCACCTATTGATTTTAAATATCATTTCACTTGATTGCTGTTATTGTAGATTGAACTAAGTTCTTTTTTCCACCGAAGTTCCTTCTTTTATACTTTGATCAGACCATTTTTCATGTATATTGAAGCAGTTGTGGATAGATCTTAAAATAGATGCTGAAAGCTCTGATGAAAACACCGGTGCCTGGCAGATGCTGCAGTCTAGTGGTGGAAGCAACTAAATGCACAAAAAAATATTTCTCAGATAACCAGAGATTACCATCTTTACAGTTTCAGTTTTTATGGTGGTAATATGCTTTGTGTCCAGGTTTATACATAGTGATCAGATGTCTAATTATTAGCTACACAGGTCATTTTAAATACTAACCAAATCTGTAGGCAGTATTTCAATCAAACCATTGTTTAGTCCAACAAGATCTCCTACAACGAAGCACTTGTACCTGCCTCTAAAAGACAAGAATATGAAGATTTTTAGAAGGAAGAACCAGGAATGAGGGGTGGTGGTGGTGTTATTTTCTCTGATTGATTTCCCTTCAGGATGGGGAGAGGACCATGTGGAAAAGAACAAGTGAAGATAAGTAGCTGCTGTTTGAGGAATCTGAATTTTGACCCCAGGTTTTTATCAAAAAAACTGAAATTAGGAAAACTAATCATGTTAATAACTTTAGTAGAGCTAATCAACTCTGGGTTAAAGGATGGAAAAGTGTGCGGCTACATAGGTTGACTATTTTATAGCCTTTTTCAGGCAGTAGATAAGGTGGCGTTTAAGTGGATATATCTTTTTATACATAAAAAATATTCAATTCCTACTAAGAAAAATTTATATGTATAGTTAAAGGACAATTCATCTTGTTTTAACAGTAAATTTACAACTTCACACTTTAATCTTAATTCAAGAAGTCCCATCTGCATTTATAAGTAAGAGTCATTTTAATTCCATTTGTATCTATATTGCATCTTTGTAATATATAACACAGAGTTTGTATTTGCACTAATGAATGTTTATTTTAAATTTTGCTTTAATAAACTATTAATCAAGTTAATTTTGGGTAATTTTTGTCCCAATTCCGAATCTGTGGGTTTAGATAATTTTTTTCAGTTAATAATCTTGCGTTACCCAGAGTAACGACACAACTGTGTGTACTTGAATGGAGTTTCAGTTTGAGCTGCCATACGTTCAACTTCCTTTTTATTATCACAAAACTGTCCAGGCTGCATAAAATTGGCGAAACTCCATGGCCCAGTCCAAACCTATAAGAAAAGCGACATCATCCAACCACTTATTTACATCTTTATCAACTTTATCACAACCTTAAGTAAAAGTTCTTACAGTTTTATAATTGTAAAACTATACTTCTTGTTTACTAGAACTGAATGAGTTTTCTATAGTCTCAAGATGAAGCACATGCTGAGGATAACTTTCCTGGAGACAGTCACTGGTGACACATCTGGATAATTGTAACCTTATTTTGGTATCGGTGGTTTCTGACATGTCTACAGATGATGTACAATTCTGCTGGAGGTATTTTGACAAAAAAAAGTTTTGAGTTCAGTCAGTGGCAGAACATTGGTTTGCTTTATAGTTCAAGCCTTTCAAAGTCACCTATAGGTTGATATATGATGAAATAAATCCTGTAGCAGTACATAGTTTTAACTTATGGCTTTTCTTTTTTTCTCTTTTTCAACCCAGATTAAAAACTTCACATTAAACTGTTTCAGGATGATGTGATATCAACCCATTTCTGACAGATGAACATCCAAGATCTTTTGAGGAAAAAAAAAAAAAAACATTCTCATGATTTAGACATGAGCTACAAGGTTACTGGCCTGTGCAACAGTTGCAAAAAAAAAAAAAAGTTTGTCTCAACTTTAAACGGACATTATTGGCCTCACATCACCTGTGTGATCAGAGTAAGTGGGTGTTTGTTTACAGTGCAGGAACAGCACAGTTAACGTAGATGCTTCCTGGATGGAGCGTTCTTATTTAACTATTATCCATCTGCTTGTTTTCACAGGTGAGGGAGGGGCTGCTGCTCAGACACCAAAACTCACAAGGAGTTAATATATTTATTTTGTATTTTTCCCGAACAGCATAAGGCTAATAACATACATTTTATTTGATATAATCCCTTGAAGTTTGTTTTATCGAATCAATCAACCCTTGATTGGGGATTTAAACTCCGAGATTCTACAAAAGTCATCTTGCTTTTATATGTGCTGCTCTTTGGGCTCTGTTTTCAAATGAAATGGCTCTGATTTTCGTTTGTGAATGGCAGATCTATGCAATCAAACTTTGGTATGAATAAGCTGAAAGAAAAAAAATAAAAATAAACTTGATATAGAACCTGTTACGGTGTATTAGTGTCACTTTAAATCAACATGTTATGTTTTGGCATATGTGTTAGAACTGATTAAACAGCAAAAATAATCACAATTGCAGATCAAAATCCCCTGCTTCAAGCCTCACCAATTCAGGACTTTATTTTTAAAAATGCCTTCAATCATGTGGGAGAAAAATAACACGATTAACAATCTTACATTGTGTGGAGTCAGTGGTTCTTGTGGACCACCTACTGGTTTTCCCGCTCAGGGTAACATTTAAGTCCACTTAATCTGATGTTTGCATCAAAAAGACAGAGCAGGTTAATGTTAGCAGTTACCTTTTCATGAAAGACAGGGAAATAAACTGACAGATCATTTCTCTGCAGTAAACAAACCATTTATGTTCATGCCAATTCTATAATTGCTCAAGTTTTGAGAAAAATCAGACTTTTCATGGGATACATTTCCTTTTTAAATGCAAATGAAAGATCATTTTATTATTAAGTATTACAGAGCTGGTATGTAAATAAATGGTCAGGAGACAAACAGTGACACCACATATTGAGGATCGTGTCAGAAACGGAAGGAACAACAGACACAAAGAAAGAGCTGTGGTCACATGTGCGTGAGGCAGGGCTGGATTATTGAGCCTTATGTGGAGTTTAGAACAATAATTCTAAGTTAAAAAATTATGACATTTCTTTATAAAAGCAGAATGATCTTACCAACTTACATTATTATTTTAACAGCACTGTGTAAAAGTCCTGATCCACTGAAACCTTTCAGCATTTCTCCATGAAACAGCCATACATTTGATATATTTAAAGAAATATTGCCCAGACCCCTTAACTCTGATGCCCCTAAATACAGAGAAGTCCCACATCCCTCTGATCTGAAAGCGAGGGACGCGAGATGAGGAGCAACACTGATCAGGATCCACTCAGTGTTGGTCCTGCTCCCTCTGTTCCCCTGAGACCGAGCAGTGTGTTGAGGCTTCCAGGTGAGGTGCTAACGCTTCGCTTGGGCCTCTTCAGCTTCAGTGAAAGAACAAGAAAAGAGAGACAAGATTACAATTACGAAGGAAATAAGACAATCATGTGGACTTAAATATGTTTAGATATTTAACCTGCACAGGTCCTGTAACTTTAAATATTTGAAGTTGATATTTGCATAAACTCTCCCAAGCTGCATATTTTGGTGGACATTTAATGTTTTAGCATATTTTCCCTGTAATGTACGGCAGCCTCGCTTCCATCAGTGAGCCCCAGGGCTTTTGGTCAAGTCTCCTGACTTGAAAAAGCGCTATAGAAGTACAGACCATTTACCAGATTTTCCCTGCAAGTCACTCTAATTTAATGCTTTTTAATGGTCATTTAATGCTCTTACAAATAATAATAAAATGGCCAAATCCTTCGTCATCTTTACCGTCAAGCAGACATGTCCCGAATTCCTCGTTTTCCAGCTCAAAATTTGCATTTTCCCCTCAATCTCTTGCTTTTTCTTCACCTCGAGCTTCTTTTCCGGTTTTATGATCAACTGGAAGCAGTTTCGCACAAATATATTGTGAATTTGTTTTTATAATCATGTTTTTTAATAAAGCATTTTAAAGGCCGCGATAATCACATTTAGTGAATTTTAATGTCAATTAAGGCTAGAGCTGGGCGATATAGAAAAAAACCTTATCGCTTAGTTTCCTGCTTTAACCTGAGTTATTACTTTGAAGTTGCTGGCCCCTCAGCATTTTTCTCTCAATTGTTAGAACTACGTGGGAAACTGCCCAGAACTGAATATATATATATATATATATATATATATATATA